TGAAATTTTTTGCTGGCCATATGAGCTGACGAGTGAGAATCCGTGAGCTGCTGTGATGGCTTTTGGATCTATTTTAGAAGGACCAGAAATTGATCATTTACGATCCGCCATTCAAGAGGCCATTAAACCTATTTTGAGTTTGATTACCGATCCAACTTTGCAAGTTAAGGAAACAGTTGCCTGGTGTTTGGGAAAGATTGCCCGAAGTAGCATTAAGTGCAGTTGACCTTAACCAGGACTTAGAATCTTTGTTGGGCGCCTTATTACATGGCTTGGGAGACCATCCAAAGGTCTCTGTCAACTGCTGCTGGGCATTGATGAACATTTTGGAACAGCTTTGCCTGGAAGCCCCTGAACAAGAATCAAGCATGTTGTCAAGGTATTACGAGACATTCATTCCAGCTTTGGTGCAGCTTTCCAACAAGGAGGACAATGAGTACAATTCTAGAGCTTCTGCATACGAAGCCTTGTCTTCCTTCGTGACTTATAGTGCTAACGATTGTATGGGCATTGTCAGCAACATCGCTACAGAGGTTTTGAGCAGGTTGGAGGCAACCATAGCCATGCAACTGCAGGTTTTCAGCGTCGAAAGCAGATCCGCTTTGGAAGAATTACAAGTTAATATATTGTCCTTGTTGACTGCTGTGATCAGACGCTTGAGCTCTCAGGTACAAGGTGCAGCTGATAAGTTGATGACAATGTTCATCAAGTTGTTGGAAGCGCAACAGCCAAATGCTTTGATTGAAGAGGATATTTTCATTGCTATCTCTGCTGTCTGCAGTGCAGTTGGCCCCGAGTTCTTGAAGTACATGGATCTGTTTATTCGCATACTTGACTAAAGCATTGGCTAATGTGGAATCTCCAACCTGCAGCACTGCTGTTGGCTTAGTGGCGGATTTGGCGCAATCTTTGGGCCCAGCAATTTCCCCATACTTGAACGGATTGATGGAAATTTTAGGTGCTAACTTGAATAACCCTACAGTAAAGAGAGAATTGAAACCAGCCATCGTGTCATGCTTTGGCGATATTGCTAGTGTTTTGGGAGAAAACTTCCAGCCTTACATGCAAGTTGTCATGCAAATTTGTACCGAACTCACTAGTCTCGCACCTACGGACAACACATATGAGTCTATTGATTACGTGAACTCCGTGAAGGAAGCAGTGTTGGACTGTTACGTTGGTGTTGTCAGCAGCTTGTCATCGCAACCAGAGGCTCTCTATACCATCCTTGGTCCTGTTTTCCGGTTGATTGAACAAATTGCAGGCGACGTGGAGTTGGCTACAAATGAATCAACTGCGAGGTCTGCAGTCGGCTTGTTGGGAGACATTGCAGCTATGTACCCTGATGGCCAGTTGAAGGAATTTTACCTGCAAGAGTGGATTACATGGTTCATCAAGAAGACAAGAAGCAACACCACCTTTTCACAACAAACAAAGGATGCAGCTAGATGGGCCAGAGACCGCCAGAAGCGGCAGATCGCCTGATTTTTTTTTCTTCTCATTCGATTTCATCGACTCTCTCTAGTTTATTTCTGAAAATGTCTTTCCTCTCCTCTATCCTCCTTGATCCATCCAATTTTTGTCATATCTACATCTCCATCTACATCTCTATTTACGTTTCTGACTACCTATCTCATATCCTCTATATTCTGATATGTCAGTTCTTTTCATTCTAATGACTTCTCTCTCATGTCATTTATCATGTCATATCTCAAATCTTCGTGGTCCCTGATCTCTCATCTCTCATCTCTCTCGCTTCTCATTTCTCATTTCTCATTTCTCATTTCTCATCTCTCATCTCATCTCCATCTCTCATCTCTCATCTTTCATCTCTCATCTCTCATCTCTTATCATCTCTAATTTCTTCTCTCATTTACTCTCTGATTACATATCTCAACTTATCATCTCATTTATCACATATACATATAATAATTCTACTTCTTTAATGTCACATCTTATGTATCTATCTTTTGTATGATCGTCAAATAAATTTAGACGTTTTCTTCATGTAGGTGAACACCATACGCACTTACCGCCCAACGCGGGCGCGAAATAGTTAAACTTTGCACACTAGACGTCTACCAGTATGGATTACAATCCTATTCCTTTCGACCATACTTACATTCTTTATGATCCAGATGACATTTTGTCTGTGGCAAGTGTCCATTTCTCGTTACTCCCTATATACATCATGGTCTTCTACACTGCATGGTTTCTCATTACGCGAGAGATCGAGCCCGTTATAGTTGTCGGTGGTCACCTCATTAATGAAGGTATTAACAAGGTGGTCAAATGTTTAGTGAGGCAGCCTCGGCCTGAGTTTCATAAAGACTTTGGGATTGGAACTTATGGGTTATCTTACGGTATGCCTTCTGCACATTCACAATTTATGGGTTTCTTTGCAACTTACTTTGTGTGCATTGTCTTGTTCAGAGTACCAATCAAGAATATGGGGAAGCTTATTGCGGTTGTCATGCTATATATTTCTTGTCTCTGTGTGGCGTCTTCGAGAGTCTATCTTTTGTATCACACTGCTGCTCAGGTTGCTGTGGGTGTGACTGTGGGAGCTGTTTTTGGTTTGGTGTTTTTCATAATTCTGGCTCTTGCAAGGGATGTGGGAATAGTAGACTGTGTCATTCTGTGGCCACTCGTCAAAGATTTCTACATAAAAGATTCCTACTACCATTGTTATGAAACATTTGAGAGCGAGTTCCTATCATACAAAGCCAGAATCGAAAAAAAAAGAAACGTAAAAACTTAATAGAAAAGGCTATACCAGCCGACATAATTTCAGTTTCTATTGAAACGTCTATAAATAATATTACACGTTGAACACACCTTTGACTAAAAGTCATCCCAAGCATCCTCCTCCTCGTCTTCTTGCGTCAGCTTGCCGAACTCCTTGGTTTCCTTGCTTGAGAATCCAGGCTTAGAAACCGGGTTTTCAAATGACGACAATGACGACTTTTGCTCTGGTCTCTGAACACCAAAAGCGGGCTGGACCTCCTTCTTGCGTTGGCCAAAACCTTGGAAAAAGTTATCCACAGTACCGTTCAAACCTTTTTCCTGAACCTCTTTTGTAAAGGTTTGGAACGTTTCCTGCCCATACTTGCCAGTTTCTTGCATCTTCTGGCCGAATTGAGCCATGGCTCTCTTAGCCTCGCTTCCAATATCGGTTTCTTGCAAATGACTGAACCCGGGTTTTATCACTGTTTCATTCACTTCACTCACGGATTTGGCCACAGTTGAGGAAAACAATCCCCATCCCTTCGTAAGAGTACCAACGGGATCTTCTTGGAGACTATTGAAAGAAAAGGCAGAAAACGCACCACCTGATCTACTGGACGCAGCAGGTGCCGGTGTGTTTCCAAACCCTGAGTATTTTCCTCCTTGAGATGGAGGGAGGGAATCCGATCTTTGTTCGTTTGCGGATCCAAGACGAGCAAAGTAGTCTTCGTTTCTGCTTTTGTCAATGACGGGTACACCGTTTGCTTGTGCGATAGTCTCTTGGCCAGTTGGCAAAGTTTCATTCGAATGATCCTTTGGTACGAAGTCCCGTCCTTCTATGACACACAGCAAGTATTCTTTATAGTCTTCAGCCACATAGTTGTCGAACTTAGCTCTGATAGGTAACGAAAGATCCACATTGTGTTCCACAAAGTAAGCTTTGCACTTGTCATTACCTCCTTTTTCCATTCTCAATACTTCCTCTGGTTTGAACTGGTCCATAGTTATAGAACGAACAAACGAAATATGAACACCCAAACCACGATGTACACCAGCACATTCAAGGCAGATAAAGATGCCAAATTTGGGTGATGCCCACTGAGGATTGAAAGCGTCACAGTCGAAACATCTCTTGTTTCCTTCCGACTTTTGCAAAAGCAAAAGCTTACGGCGTGTTTCAGGATCAATTGACATTGGGGTGTAGAAAATAATCTGACGCTCGTCCACAAGTATCGTGCGGTTGTGCGCGCACCAATACTCCTAGATAACCGATTATCTGTGATTAAGAAGCAAACTAGACGAATGATATTCTTAAGCAACCATATTGGTAAACTAACTATATCTTAACTCTTAGGGAACAGATCTATACTATAGATACTACTTCGAAGCAAGTAATGGTCAAATTGAACGACATACATGATAATTGGATGTATTATCTTTCCTATAACTTCGCCACAGGCTCTGTGTTCCGCTTCGTAAGTTCAACGGGATACAAGCTTGCACTGGTCAGCTGACCGTTTTGCCATGCCGCACCATCGACAACCAGTACAGTTCCTGTCACATAGCTTGCAGCTGGTGAGAACAAAAAGACTGTAGTATCGGCAATGTCCCTTGTGGTACCCAATCTCTGGAGCGGTATGTTTTTAACATAAGCCTCCTTGTCTCTGATCAACCTTTCCAAACCCTCTGTTTCGTCAATGGCGCCAGGAGCCACACAGTTAGAGCGGATTCCCAATGGTCCAAGCTCTACTGCTAAAGCGTTTGACAAAGCATCCACGCCCGCTTTTGCGGCTCCCACATGAACCTGGAATGGGACACCATAGTAGTGCAATGTGGCACTCACAAAGAGAATTGCACCCCTTGATTTTTTGAGCTCGTTGAACGTCGCCTTCACTGTATTGAAAGATCCAAGCAAATCAATTCCCACCACTGATGCAAAAGCGTTCGATGACAAGTGGTTAAAATCCGCCAAAAAGTTTCCTGCTGCGCCTGCAATCACAAAATCAATTCTTCCCAATTGCTGGACAGTTTTCTCAACTGCTTTTGCTATAGATTGGACATCACGCACATCTGTGTTGGGGCAACTTACAACCTTGGCACCTGGACGTAAGCGGCTGATCTCATCCGCTGCCTGGTTTGTTTTCTTTTCGTTTCTTCCCACAATGGCGGCATCGGCTCCAAGTAAAACTAAAGCTTCTGTTTGCACACGACAGATGGTGCCTGCACCACCAGTGACGAAGACAACCTTTCCCTTGAAGAGATCCTTCTTCCAGGAACTATTCTCAATATATGAAGCATCTAAACCCATTATTCTTGTTGATATAAATTTCTTCTGGGGAAACTGCGGACCTTATGTACAAATAGTTGTGGCGCGTGCAGGCTAAAATGCGGGGTGAGGTTGTGACATGCCGAGGAATTCCCAGGCATATGAAAGTAACTGTCACTCTTAGGAAATCGAATAAATCACACAAGAGGAATTAGGTAAAAATAGTGCAAGCTTAATCATGCAGTGATGGTGACTTGTTCTCCAATGAGATATCTTTAGGGTTTTTTTATACGCTGGCTGTCGTCTCAAGTTGGGGGCTCTTTTCAAAGGATAACTGACCCTTTTTCTTTCGAGAAACTCCGTTGGAAGAGTTCTCTGACACGTTCTGAGATGGTTCTGATTCTTCCAGGTCAGTCAGTAGTTGATCATGATGTCGTTTGTTGTTTTCAGAGAATTCCTCTTGAATATCCTGAAAAATGTTAGTAGGTCCAACATTCAGCACATTATTAGTATGTGAGACGAAATTCTCTTTCTCTGTCTGGATTGGAGAGGAAAGATCATTATGATGCGAAATGTTGTCCTCATCTGCATCAATGCTTGTCGCGGTTGCATCCTTATTAACCTCCATATTTTCTTCAGCTAAACGAATCAAATCACGACCTGTCGAGACGTAATCTATTTCGTGCAACACGAAGTGTTTTTCAGTTTTATGAATGTATAATGCCAACTGCCGGTAATTCTTACCTTTGAACCGCTGAATGATCGTTTCCAATAAATCAATGCACAGAGAGTTTGCAAGATTATTCGCCGATGAAACAGACTTGAAAAATACAAAGAAGCTATGAAGCAAGTCATTATGAATGATGTACTGAGTCAGTGCATAATCATTCAATAGTAGGACACTTTTGAGGCATCTTAATGCTCCTAACTTCAAAATTACTTTGAAATTCAATTCCAAAACTTTCGCAACTCCTCTCATGACGTTGTTGTTGAAAAGAAATGGTTTGTAAAGGGAAGGATGATGTTCGCGTAGGCAAAAGGACAATAGATCACAAAGATGCTGATAAAGAATTGGATCATCCATCATTTTTGAGATCGCTATTTCTTGTTTCTTGGTATCTTCTGAAAGAAGGTCTATGAAATCTTTGAAGAGCATTGGAGCAACTTCTTTATAAAATGCTTCCAAATATTGTTTCACACCCAGCTCAGAGTCCGGAGGAAAGCATTGTCCACTCCCGTTATCAAGAATATTGCCTTCGCCTGATTCTTCACACAGGCTCGATAGAAGCATCTTCAATGCTTCATAAGCCTGGATTTTAAGTCCTGGATTTTTATCTTTAAGTATCAATTGACATAAAACGACTGTAGTCGACATGTCACTCACTAACTTCATCTTCAATGGCTTGCCGGCATTCTCAGTGGTGAGGTCACAAGGCTCCTTAGTTTCAAGCAGATTTGTACCTGGCATTGGACACTCTAGCTCATCAACATACTCACCTCGCGTTGCTGTGTTAACAAGTGAGACATCCTGTTCTATTATGGACACGAGAAGTTCTGTACCGCCGACACGGGTATCGCTATCTGTATCTCTCAACGCGAATTCAATCATTTTGAATAGACCAGACTTCACTAAAGCAATAAAAAATTGCGGTCTTTGATTTGCTTGATGGTTCTTAGCAACTAGCACATATTGATGTAGCATTCTGACACCATCTCTTTTTTTTTGAACGTCGGATTTGCTTTTTAAATCGTACAACAGAAATAAACGACTAAAGAAATGATCACTTGCGTTCGAATCAGTCATAAAGCTAATGATTTCCATCTGGTTAGAGTAGATAAAAGAAGATAATGTTCCGAGAATTTGCTCGTCCATACTTCTGGCAAGCACCACATCTTTCAAGTAATTCAAGACAAAGTCTTTCCGAAAGATGCTCATGTCTGAATTTATGCTTGTTTCCAAGTGTGGAATCGGGACAACAGTTTTGAACTTCGATTTGTCACTTAAATATTCCCTATGGCAAGCTTTGAAATTAGGGAAGTCTCTGTCATATTCCAAGATTCCTGCGAGCCCAGTTGCATTCTTTTCCGTCCTGACGAGTTCTTCCAAAACATCTGGCTCATTATAAAGTAGGATTACTTTTGTGATGTCACTCAACAAATGTAAACTGTGGATATCATGATTAGCTTCCGCCTGGTTGAAAATATTCAAAAGCTTCTCGAAATAATTTTGCTGGAGCAAGAATTCCGAAATTTTGGATCGAGTGTAATGCGAATTTGAACCCTGATTAATAACTTCTAAAATGTTCTGAAGATTTTCACATGTGGGACTTTCATCAGGATAGGTTATTGGTCCCGTTATTAGCTCTGTAATCTCCCGAGGACCCTCAGACGCATCTTGCATCGTGGACAAAACATAGTATAAGGAGATCGTTGGACTCAAATTTTTTTGTTGTACTTTCACAATGAAATCACATAAATCGGCACAACCTTCATTCTCTTGGAAGGAGAGTGCCAAGTCTTTCCCTGACAAGTCGGTCCAGACTATCAATGTTTCTTGTTGCCGCTGATATTGGATGGTACCTTCCAAGTATGATTTCAAGATAATATTATCAGAATCCAATTCACTCCGGACAATGAAGTACGGCTTGTTCGTCTTTTTGTCAACTTCTCCCATGCAATAACCTGTCCCATTATCCAACCAGTCTTCCCCTTCGAGAAAATACACTTTCACGCGTCTGGCTAGTTTACTTTTGATCATTTGACGTTCCTCATCATCTGCATCTTCAACTTCCCCTGATAACTCGCTCAAAATGATTGGATCTTCCTCTTTTTCTCCGTTAGGTCGGCTCTGTGGCTCCGTTTCCATATTGCCTGTCTAGCCGCTTCGCAATAGGTAAAAAGTGCTAATGACTGAACGCAACAACAAAACGATAAAGCACGGCACTTGAGAACAGAATAGAGCTGCTTGATTTAGCCCAGATATAAAAGTCAGAATAGTATTGTTCTTATACTCCAAGTACCAGTTGGTAGAAAAGAAGCAACGCGAAACTCTTAGTACTAATTGCGTTTATACTGTATTGAACATCAAATCTTATCAGTTGGTGTCCAGGTGTCACAAGAGAGAACACGTCTTGTGCCTAATACTAACCAAAAACGGGGCCGAAAAAATTTTGAATACTCTAATTCGTAATAAATGAATTCCAATATAATCCCAAATACATCTCTTTTGACCATTTCGTCTATTTTTTAAAATTGTGGCCGCGTTTGATGTTTTCAATATTTACAGGTATTGTCAAAGTTTGAGGAAAACTGGTTTCCGTTACTGAAAATTCGCATCCATGGGCATATGTGAACAAAATTGAACGAACGAGTTAGATCGATAAATACTAACCATAATGGTATTAAGCTAAATGAAATTGTGAATTGAATTTTCAAATTGCAACGATGCCGGTAAATGACCTGTTGTGCATTGTATTCTAAATATGTACAAGTAACTAACGACAAACAAGTGCAGCAGAGGATAGACTTCTCAACCAATCAGCATTATCAACATCATGGGTATCCTCAACTTCACCCCATTCTTGGGTTTGGAATATTGTTTCTAAGTTTCCCATCTCAACGATTTCCTCAACAGACTTCTTGAAGTATTCTGCCTCATTCGCCTTATTCACTTGGTATAGTTCCGATTGAATCTGCGAATCCGATGCATTCGATCTGACAATAGCAGCACCACACAAAAAAGACTTTGACGAAAGAACAGCTTTCTCTAAAGCAACAAGGTCGTAGATAGGTAAACTGTCCAACCACAGCAATACGATATTCTGGGTGGTGATAGTTTGACTATTACCTCTAATACCATCAGTCTCACAATCAAGGTAAGTCAACTCAACTTTATGGTCAGGAGATGGAAGCAAATCTTTCTTTCTGCCGAATTCAGTGAAATAAGATTCAAATTCCTCGATCAAGGGTCTATACAACTCTTCCTGCTTGTTTCTCAAGCGACCCTCGTACTCATCCAAGGTGGTGAAAATCAAGCAGGTGTCTGTGTCCAAGTAACGCAAGATGTTATATTTGATATCTTGCAAATCGCCGACTTTGGTCACCAAATCTTTATCCACTTCTTCAGAACCAAACACAATACCTAAGTCTGTGGCACGAGCTACCATGGAAGTTAATGGCAATGAGTTAGGTTTTATCTTCAAATCAATCAAGTTTTCCCACTCATGGCTAACTAAATACGCCAACTGTTTCTTATTGGCTGGAACAGAAAGTATATTGCCGAGAGGAGTCTTGAGAGCCTTCCCATCAAGGTGGGTTTCAAAAGATTGGGTTTTCTTATTGAAGCTAGTTTCTACCTTGTCCCAAAACTTCGTAAGAGTCTTTTCCAACCTGTTCGCCTCTGATTTGATGTTAACATCGCCACTAATGGGTTGGCTTGAGTTGACGCCAGTTGCCGCATTGGAAGCAAACCTGGCAAAGGAAAAGCCAATACCGCATTGCTTCCTCGGGAAAATAGGTAAACTTCTTCTGGCTATTTGAAGCATTCTATGATGACAAGGTGAGTACAACGAAATATTGGAGTGCGCGTAACGAACCTCTCTCAAAGTGCTACAGTGCCGAACTTAGGCAAAGAAAAGAACACCATTGATTTATCCTACTAAAATTGTGAATACCTGAAAAAAATAATGTCCCTAGATCCACAGTCTTTGCAAAAGTTGCTCATTGAGATGGACAACCAGCTCAACAAATCAAGAGCTGAGTTGAACATGTGCAACCTCCAGTTGGAGAGAGTTGATGCCAATTTGAAAATTATTGAGTCCACTACGTCCAGATTGAATAAGCTTACAAGTCCTGGTGACAAGGTTTGGAAAGGTATTGGTAAGGCATTTGTTCAAAATGATGTTTCCGAGTATCTTGTCAAGATTGGTGAAGACAAGAAACAGTTCGCCGAAACAGAAAAGCTGTTAAAAACTAAGAAGCACTACTTGGAAGCTAACTTGGAGAAAACTATACAGAACATGACCGAGATCGTGGGCAAAAAGTGATCAAAAGACACATTGGATACTCTTTGATGTCTCGAGCAGTGCATCATTAGATAAAATCAACTATAGCTACAACTAATAATATTCTTCTTTCCATCCGTATCTGAAATTAGTATTAATCAATGCACCTAAAAAGCCAGTCTTGAAGCAACTGCTCCCAACGAAAACGTCCAAGGATGGCGTTTCCTAAAGTGCCACATTTTAATGGGTATATTATCATTATTCCATCTAGAAAGGCATCGTTTAGATGGAAAAACTGCTGACGTTTCAAACTGTGGCTTAATCACTATCCTCGTCAACACCATCGTCCAAAATGCGACGTTCAAGATCATTTTCCGCTTCGTCTAACTTTCTTTTGTTTGACATCTTCGCTGTCAAAAATTCGTTGATCTTGTCTTGAACAGTGGTCAACTGTGCTCTGAGTGAACCTAGTGGTGTATCTTTGGGCTCGCTAGGCCTATCTTTGTCCTCTCCTCCCGCTTTGATCACAATATCTGAAATTTGAGTAGTTTTGCCGTCTGTAGAATGAGGCCCATTTCCTGGAATAAAAGTGACACCTTCTATCTCACTGGGGGAAGTGTATAATGCATGAGGCACCAAAGAACTCATTTCTAACTTCTCTGGAATATTTGGTCTTTGTTTCTGAGCCAATACTCAATTGCTGATGCTCGGAGAGATGAAATTGGATTACAGTGCGCTCTCCTACACAGTCTAAGGAACAGAAAATGATCGTTACATTTAAATTAAATAGCATCATTAGAAGATTCAATTGGGATTCGTGAAGCACTGTTGGAGTAGGCATTAAATTTCACTTCGATGATTTCATTAGTTGAAAATTCGAGTGATGGAATGTCGTAGCATGAGCACGCCATTAAATAGCCATGGAAAACTCGCAAAACTGTCTCGTCGGCAATGATCAAAATATCTCCACTCATACGCTCCATTTCAAGAATCAATGGCTCAATTTTAATGGCCAAGTCATGGTACAGCTCTGCCCTCGAAAAGCGGTGATGATAAGGGTCCTTCAAGAACAGTTCATATTCCGAAGGGAAATTTTGAGCAATTTCCTTTTCAGTCATGTTTCCTACTATTCCTGGGTTCTTCTGAGACAACTGGATCCTATGTCTGATTTTTACTCCCATCTTCTTGAAGAATTGAGTTGTTTCAACAGTCCTTCTCTTTACTGATGTCCAAACAACAAAAGAATCCTCATCAACGCCATCAGCGCCAGTAGGTGGGTGTTTTTCATCAGTTGATAGAGAATGTTTGAGCTTTGGAGCTTCTTTGGTGTTCGAGTTAGTCGAACCAGGAAGCGTTTTCCCTTTAGCAGCTAAATGCTTAACCAACGTATGCGTCAAATCCTTTGCATACTGTAAGCCAGCCTCATCTAATGGGGGGTCTTTAGAGTAGTCTAACTCGTTTTTGTAACAACGAGCAAAGTAGACAGATCCACGCTTGATTCTGGAATTCATCAAAAAGAAAACAACTTTGTTGATCAAATAACCATAGTTGGAATTGTGTAACTCAATTCTTTGACTGAAATTAATCATCTTTATAAATGAGAGCTCAGCATCAATTCCCAGAGAAGTCATCTCCTTGTAATATGGTTCCAAGGCTTGGATCCTGTCGTAGTAATCCTTATAAGCTTTTTCATACTCCCAGTCAACATAATCTGGTGATGATCTAGCTGCAGTTTCAATATTTTTCAAGAGCATTTCTCGGTCAGTAACTGTAGATTCAATGAAAATACACTGGATGTTCAAACTGTTAAACTTGTCGTGGAGTACTTTTCGGTATTCAGGTAAAGCATTCACAGCATCATAAATAGCAACCTGGCCCTTATCCTTTTCAAAGAAATTCAAGATGTCGTTCAAGCAGTCATCAACAGTTTTGTTTCTGAAGTTAGCAGCTTCTTCACCGTTTGGGTGCATGACATATAAAGCGTGATCCAAGTCATCAGCCGGCGCTGTTGCCCGTCGATAGTCTCCTAAATGAAAACTATGAGTTTTCACACCAAGCCATCTTAAGTACCGTGTTAGTGAAACTGACAAGTGAGTTTTTCCTCTCCCAGGCAAGCCTGCTAAAGCAATACAAATTTTGCCCGCGTGGAACAAACGACCTGATTCTGTAGAATACAACTGCGCCGGTGAGATATGATTCGGATCAATTTCATTATGAACACCGTCAATTCCAGTCACATCACTGAGTCTTCTTTTCGGGATATAGGATGACGGGTTCTCCACCAAGTTTGGCTTGGTGTTGTTGTGGAAGGACCACCGCTTTTTCGTTCTTCTCCCCAGAGAAACATTCCTCAGAAGTGGCGCTGACCCAAAGCCATTAAATATTTCAATGTCATTATCGGAATCAGTTTCAAGAGCAGACATTGTTGGGTGAAAAGGAAATGAACTCAGAAGGTACTCCGCTAAATGAGGAAATAGTGTGGGATATTTTACCCCAGCCTTGGAAGGACATGCAGTATCACTCTATTTGTCTTCTAGAAGTTAGTTAAATAAGCTCCACAATAGTAGGTAAACACCCTGCAACCTTTGAAAATGAGGACTTGAATACCATTGCATTCATTCATGTACTTCGAGTAGCTACAAACGTATATACTGGTCTTTATGATGGAAAGGAACAAAACAGGTTTCAACACACATTCTCCTATCCCGAAGGCGGAGGATCTGCTTAGTTGCCAATTCAAAGGCCACAATGGGATGAACAGGTATGACTTATTCAAATCAATTTAAACTTCGTTGAAGTTCCTTGTGTTCTTGAACTACAGGACTACTATCAATAGCAACGAGTAGTCAACAGATACCACCTCTAATCGCTATGCAGCTTTTATAGTCCACTATCATTATACTGCTAGTCTACCTTAATTCAAAGTCGTTGCAGATGTGTATTATACGGTGATTAAATTACAGAGAGAGAATGCTTACTCCAACTTACCACCCTTTCTCTCAATCAAAGCCTTTCTCTTGTCGTCCAAGTACAACTTGTTGATGACAACCTTAGATGGGTGAATGTTGATTGGGATGGAAGCACCAGAAGACTTTTCCTTTTGCAACTTCTCAATTTGGACAGCAAACTTCAATCTGTAGACGGTAGAAACCTTACCTTCGGAACCCTTCTTGGAACCTCTGACAACGGTGACCTCATCTTCCTTTCTGATTGGGAGAGACTTGATGTTGTACTTTTGTCTCAACTCCTTGGACAATGGAGCGGACAACAAAACTCTTCTTTGAGCGGAGCCAGCGGTGAAGTAAGCCTTTCTGGACTTAGAACGGGAAGAAGAAACGTCTAATAAATGTTAGTATACTTTCCAAAGTGACAAAGCAGAAATTTCCAGATCCAAATTTGACATCGTAAATTGTATATTCTTGTGGACAACATTTTAACTTAATTTGGAATGGGACATCATCAAGAGAACGACGAAACAATAATTTGACATGACAATAATAATGATAAACTTGTAATTACTCTCATAAACGATTTCTCTGGAACTTCTGGGATCATTTGCGGCACATACCTTGACTGATCTTGGCCATTTTTGTTTGCTAGTTGATAAGTGAAATGAACCAAATTGAAAAAGTCCTTCTCAGCTGGAGCCAGGCAGTAGAAAATTTTCCGGCAACCTGCAGGAAGTAACAACAAGCGCGGTCCAAATTTTGAGGGCATGAGCCCTAAACACAAATAATAGACGGTGCGAACTTAAAACTATGAAAAACATAGTCTACAATTTCTACCTTGCACTGTTAGTTTTGAACATTGGTGATATGTGCTAATTCATTTATTTAAAAAAAATTCAGACTTTGACGGGGTTGATTTTATATAGAGGATTAACAAGCAAAAAAGAAAGCCCATGGCGGGACTCGAACCCGCAATCACCGTCTCCGGAGGACGGTACCTTAACCAATTAGGCCACACGGGCTCTTGTATGACCTAAACTTGTGAATGAAGCAATAGTTCAATGCATGAATGAGCCCAGTCTTCTTTGTAATCGAACTTCCTACTTACCGGAATTGGCTTCTGCCAGAAAGTCGAAGATAAATTAGACCAATCGGAGAAAGACAAGGTTCAATAAACAAAATATACAGAATGAAGACCGAGGAATTTGAAACCGTTGGCTATGTACGGGAGTCAGATATCACAGCCATACAATGATCATAGCCCTTTATAACAATTGGCAGTTAAACAGGCTCATTCAGTCTGGGAATATTGATGTTCATTTATTCCATTCATCATATGTGGTTAGTATGGGTAACTTGGATTATTGGATGGGAACAATCTCTGCTAGCCGTATCTGTTAGTGGTCAGTTTTGTGTAGTGAACATTGTGGAGACTGGAAATTTTCCATAAAAACAAAGCCAGATGATTTTCACTGTTCCAATAGTCCGAATTCTTCAAGTAAACACCAGAACGTAACTCTATTCCGGAAGCAATTTCACAAACGATTAACTCAATGCTTTCCCATAAGTTGTTGCACATGCGAATCTCAATCGCAACCTATCAGCTTAATCTGATTAATATAATAAGCTTCAATTTCGTTCACATCTCTACCACATATAATTGGAAGCATAATAATGCAGCACTTCCTATGAGCAAGTCATGTTCATTTTTATATGTGTCGTCTATATTCTGGCAAAGTATGGTCTTGCGTATAGGTGGTAAAAATTTGTCAGGCGCCTCCAAACGCGGAGAACTACGAGCTAAGTTCGTATTCCTTATCACCATGTTGGCGTTCAGATCTCTTCGGAATGTTCTCCATGTCAATAAACGCCAGACGGAATTGCTTTCAAGAAAGTCGATAAAACCTGTCTTCATATACCCCATGAGGCCATTTTCATTGTTAAACTTCCCAACATCTATTCCACCAACATCTAAGCCAGTGTCTTTGATGAACTTTTCCAGATATTCTACAAAAACAGCTCCCCCTCCCCCACCTCCGCCACCAGCAGACAAGAATGCACGTGGAAAGGCCATTCTCAATCGCATTTCAAGGATCTTCACTTTTTCCATTTCTTCTATTTTAGTCGTCGGAGCGCTAGGCGTCGCTGGTTTGGTCGTTTATTTGATTCTTTCTGAATTGTTCTTGCCTTCAGGTGATACCAAAACGTTTAACAAGGCAGTCAAACTTATTGAACTGAATGAACAAGCTCAGAAGGCTTTGAACTTTAACCCAGGTGAGCGGCTTCGGGCTTACGGTGAAGTTCCAGGTGACAAATGGGTCAGAAACAGACCTGTCCAAAGTGTGAGAAAGAAGGGAGCCGATGGCAAAGATCACTTGCTCATGCGTTTTCACGTTGAATCCAATAGTGGAAAGCATGCAAGCGTTGTTTTGGAGCAAATTGATACGTCGTTTTGGTCTTCAGAATTCGCATACATTGCTTTGGAATTACCTTCAAAACACAGAATGTACATTGTGGAACCTAAATTTTCACCAAATGAATACGTTCCTAGAAGCTCTGGTTTAGGTAAAAGCAACGGTTTCTTAGGTCTCAAGTGGGGTCCTAAAAAGGACTAAGTACGACTCATAATAGCATGACATGAAGCGATTTATTCTTACGATATTATGAACTTTTAGCTAGAATCATATCTCTCTATTTTGAAATTTCCCTTCATTGATAGACGCATAACCGGCACTCTGTATGCCCGCCTACTCTCATACAAATCATTATTCCTTGATGTACATTGGTAATCAAGGTTTAGTCACCAACATACCTAAATAAATTCCCAGTACACCCACAAAATACGGCGATCCCGAAAAGTCAGCAATGCTAATTACATTGAATTGTAATACACTTCCAAAAATTTCTTCTCGATTCCGACTCGTTTTCAATCAGTTAACGTCTATGTAACTTTTGTAAAGAACACTAAATTGCAACTTGTGCTTTTATTATGATATGTAAAGTAAATAGATACCTTATGCAGCTACATTAGAATGGAAGTGAACGGTCATGGTTTCATGGCTACTGACCCATGGGGATACATCGTTTCCTTCGTTGCCCTTCATTCTTTTCAAAAGCGGAAGGTCCTATTTAAGGTTGCAAGCACGCTGACTTTGATGCACTGTCAAGGCTAAAGTCGAGGAGTCGCTTATAATCGTCAATTATAGGGGGCGGTTCTCAAGGTGATAAAAGAATACGAAAGTAGAAGCATGAGCAAATAATAATACATGTCTTAAAGTAAAAGTTCTAAAAAATTCCATAGAGACGGGCTAATTGTCTCTTTCCTTTACATTCTACCATGAAGATTTCATTTGGATCCACCTTCACTAGTAGTCCAGCCTTTCCGATTGTTTCTATCTTGTCGAATATGTTTGACCCTTCGAACGCCCACAGGAAAATAGGTACTTCTTTCTCATTATAATCACCTTGTGGTTTCAATTCGAAATGATACGTCCCTCCATCTTTCCCATGTTCTGTTGAATGGAAAATTTCCATCGTGTACATTGAAATAGCCTTCCACGAAGAAATATGGTGAATTCTTTCGTAAGACTCCAATTGCTTATGGAGCTTGACGGTCATTCGATCCATCAACAACATATTGAGTCCGGATTTATTGACACTTTCAGGGGAAGAATTAGACTGCGCTGGCGATTTACAATCATTCAAGGCTGTGTAAATGCTGTTAAGGGTGGATGAAGCACTAGGCTTTGCGCTCATTAGTGACGAAGCCAAAGTGTTGTTTGATTCGCAACTTGAAAGCTGTTTATAGTTCAGGTCGTTAGAGATCGTATCCCTGACGTTCAACAAGTTAGTGGAGATGGAGCTCAATAGTCCCGCATTGTAACAACGAGCTATTATGAGCATCTTTTCTTTAGTGATAGAGTTTGTTGCTGAGATCTCCAAGTCAAGCGCAGAAGACTGTCTAACTTTAGTATTCGAGTCAATTTTAAGAATCAAAAGCGGAATATCTGCCATTTCTTGATACTCATCATCATATTCTTCCTTGAAGACTAACAACCAACTTTCGGCCAAGCTATAATTGGCTACAATTTTCACGAACAAGTTGTCGCTGGTGGTCAACATCTCCCATTTTCCGTGCTTTGTCTTCCATTTTGAAACTTTGATAGACTTCGGAGATGACGGTGAGATATACACGTCGACGGATTCGTCAGAATTGATGGCTTCCTTCAAATTTTCAGGAATAGATAATTTCTCTTCATTTCCTGATTGTAACAAGCTTGTCGAGCTATTGTTATGAGGTGATCCATTACCTGCCATATTAGTCTTGAAGAAATAAGTTGATGTAGAGCTTGGTAATGCAAAAGGCAGCGGTAAAGTACGTTCGAAAGTAGATGATGCTGAGCTCAAAGGTGCATTGGATTGCACATCTGCCTCAATTCCTGGCACCTTAATTGAAAGATTAGGTTTCTGACGGATCGTTTTTGTTGTAGTGTCACCATTAGGTGCTGCAACATGTGAAAAGTCGGGCTGCACTGTCTTGGTCTTTTCAAATGATTGTTCTTCACTCTCGCCTAACACCAAATCATTTTTCGATTTATTCTTTCTGAAGATACTAAACAATGACTTTCTTCTGCCTCTAACCTCCTTTTTGGAGTCAGTCGTTTCTTCATTAACAAGCGATGTGAATGATGGGTTGTAGTTTTTCCCAAAATTATGAATATCGATAGCAGAACCAGCCATATTCTTGTATACTTTCTGGGGCTGAGGTAATAAATTTGGAAGGGACGAAGACGCAGCCTTATTTTTAAATTGGTTGTTGTTGTTTACCAATTCGAAACATGTAAGAATGCCATCGTCATTCAGATCCACAGGAGCCAATGGAGATATATCATCTTCGGTATGTCTATACTCTGCTTTAGAAGAGTTTGGTTGAATTTGTTCAACCACGAGAGCTGCCTTATTGACTTGCTCGGGTGTTTCAATGCCATGATTGGATAAGGTTTTCTTCATGATCAAAGAAGAATCTCTCTTGGAAGTCTCAGAAATCTTCGAATTAAGGTCATGCGATGAAGCTGAGCCTAAAGCCAAGGAAGATGAAGATGATGAAGAGGACGAGCAGCGAGGTTCAGAGTCCTCATCGGAAATTGCCTCAATCCCTAATCCATGTAATTTCACATTCCGAGACGTGATAGGCTTTTCATTTGTGGAAAATATTTCCTCCAATTTTGTGAACCAGCTTTGGAGCACTTTCTGCGAGCCTGTGAGAATGATAGGATTCGTAGCATTCCTCTCGTCTGAAGTGGAAGATATGGGCTTGAGGACAATTGAGCCATCGGAGAATATCATTGTCAACTCATTGACTCTGAAAGGTGGAAACATAACAAATCTTCTCTCATTTGAATTTGAGACCTCAAGGATAGCCAAAGCATTATAGAAAGAGTCTCCACTCGAAGAAGTCTTTGTTAAGTTCAACAAGAGCAACTCAACAGGAAGTCCACCCATACATATAGCTGCATCTTTCGATCTTTCAACAATTTGTTTCAAAGTAAAATGGGTTCCCACTGTAGTTCGATTGCCGAAAGATTGAACTTTTTCAAAGGAGATGTTACTCAATCTTTCTTCCTCTCGGCGCTCGGAATATTTCTCTAGCAACGCTTCAAGTCTGGACTTGCATGCCAGCAACTTGTCAAGAACAAAAGGGTTCCTGACAAGAAGAGTTGAGGAGTCGATGAAAGCAATGTAGCACCCGCAATGCAAAATGGGTGATTCCAAGACTTTTGGAGCACCTCTGAGGGGCATAGACTGCAAGTATTTTTCAAAGACTGTAATTGCGGTATCAAACCAAAGTATGAAGCTGTTAACCAATTGTTTAAATCGTTCCATATGAGAGGATTCATCCTGTCTCATATCCGTTTGGCATTCTTGAAGCATAGTAAGTAGTTTCGAATTATGCGTACAAAGTCCTCTGACCAAGGAGGCGATATGGGCATCTTCCAGAGATGCTTTTGATGACTTAATGTTGGATAAGACACTGATCAAGTTGTCATTCTCTTTGAATTCACATTCAAGAAGAGCTTCAGCAGCAACAAGTGGCGACATTTTGAGAAGAGCAAATGTCGATAGTGAGAGATGGGTCAGACTGGTAAGGAGATGGCAGTTTTAGTAGAGAATGATAACAGCCAGCAGTTTTTGGAGACAATCGACACGACGGAATGGCAGCAACGAAGTGATTCCAATAGCTTCAATAAGTTTGAGCTCAAAAAAAGGGAAACCGGAAATCGAAAAGTTGGCTTAAAATGAACTGGTTCGGAAATAAAGAGAGACGAAAAGTATTTATCACCTATTCATTACCTTTCCCAATTGGTGGAGTGCGCATTTGGGGTTGGTGTTTTGGAGACGCGAAAAACACCTAAGACACGCGACGCGACTTTTGGAAGGGGCCGCTGGCTACATTGAACGAACCGGTTCTGGACAAATTGTCTGGACTTTTCTGTATTCCTCCGATTTGTTAGCAAAGGGTATGTGGCAGATGGTGCCTGGAAACTCCAAGTCAGAAGTATATTTCCGAATGAAACATATGATACACGTACGCCAGGAGTTATACATGCATGAGTCCTCTCGGGATTATTACGAGGGCGCCTTTTTTCTGATGCACCTACATGACGCATCTCACGATCGAAGGTGATGGGTGTTCCTTTTTAGTAAATGGCACTTCTCATTTAGGCAAATACTTTGTTTTTGTTTTCCATACTTGCCTACGACCAATCATACTTGCTACTACTAGTGTAGAATTAGCTTCAGGTTACCGTGCGCAAAAAAACCCACACGTATATCAGAAGGGACCATACATAAAGAGAGAAAAGTAACGCATCAAATGTCCTTAGAAATAACCCAATCCATAGCTTTATCCAACCCTTCTCCGGTGATTCCCGACACTGAACACACTAAATAGTTGTCCTGATGTAGCTCTTCCAGCAACCCTAGAGATTGCACCACTGCAGACTCCAGTTTTTTGCGCTCTTTAGGAGATATCATGTCGATCTTATTGATCAAGAGCAAGAAATAGGTGCCTGATAGTTGATCCTGCAAGATCACCTTTTCTCGAAGCTCTTTATACAGCTCTCGTAGTCTGTCTACACTAGTAACATCCACTACCCACACAACAACATCCAGCTTGTCGAAATAGTTGGCCCAGAATGCTCGGAGTGATGTTTGGCCCCCAATGTCCCATGCGTTGATGGTATAATCTTTCCACTCAAACGTTTGGATCTGAAAACCCATAGTGGGTGCCACTTCTGTGGGATCACATCCCATTAGCTTTCTGACTATGGTTGTTTTCCCTGCACTATCAAGACCCAAAACAAGCATCCGGATTTCCCTGTCTTTCACCTTCTGCTTTCGTATGATTGATAGCAAGCCCATCTCGATAGAGCCGCATCATCTATCATAATAATGTTGCGATCTACTCAAAACCTACTGCTCATATGCAGAATACTATTTGACTAATGACTTGAACTACATCTGCTTTTGTATTCCCTGTGTCTTGAATATGTTAGAATGTCAAAACAAAAAGGTCGGGTAAAAGCGAAGATTCAGCCTACTCTTGTTGATTCTCTAGCTCGCAGTCTGGAGCTGCGCCAGAATTCTTTTGTCGACTTAACTCAGGATGACGAAGCAGTGGATGGAGAAGAAATGACGATTCTCTGCCCTGTATGTTCCATCCAAATGTCCCTTTGGCAAATGGATGCTCGAATCAAACATGTGGAGGACTGTTTTATCGATGTTGACAATAAAAAATGAAGAGACGTTAGAGCAATCGCAAAGTTTAGGAGAAGATGGCAGAACTATCCACACTCATACCCAGCGTGTCACAGAAACTAAAGTGGAAGTGAAAAAGAGAACTAAAGGAAAATTTACAGCCAGCGAGACTAGCGGAAAAAGGCGTAAATCAAAACCAGTCGGTATCCAGGTGGAAAGAAATAGTTTCATCAATACAGTACCCAAAGTGAAACCACCTCCCAAAATAAAAGCGGACAGCGACGACGTTCCACAAGAACTACTAGTGTCATCCAGGACGAATCCGATTCCAGGGTTGAAGATCCTCTCCTTCACTATGACTGAGAACCTTGGCCATGACGTTGCTGTTGATGCGTTTTGTTATCAACCTCATAATACCATCTTACAGTATTTTCTTTCCCACTTTCATTCTGACCACTATGGGGGATTCACAAAAAGATGGTGCAGAGAACGAACCTTGGACAAAAAAATCGTGTATTGTTCAGAGATAACTGCTCGACTATTGCAAATTCGCTTCAACGTGGAGGAACAGTTTATTTTCCCTTTGAAATTGAATGCAAGGTGTAAGGTTTGGGACTATGGGCATGCTGTAAATGTTTGTAGCGGAGACAAAACTTATGACAACAACGGGTCTCGTTCAGCTTTCGAAGAAGGCTATATGTTGAATGGTGGTTTTTATTCAGAAGAGAAGACTCCCGGTCTCTACGTCACTTCCATTGATGCTAATCATTGCCCAGGAGCAGTTATATTCCTCTTTGAATCGATATCACTTTCTATGGAATCATCCTTCTCGCTACATTGTGGAGATTTTCGTGTTTGCAGAGCTATGCTTGAGCACCCAATGATCCTTCCTTTCCATATCGGAGGCTCTAGTGTGCTTGACAAAGCGTATTTGGACACTACCTATATGTCTCCGGAACACAACTTCCCCCTACAAGAGACTGTCTGCGATGCGGCGGCCACATTGGTTGAAAAGTTTGCCGAAAAAGGACCGTTGTACAATGAATATTTTGGAACAACTCTTCAGAGTAGGATTACTGACTTTCTTCAGCTTCCCCGAATGAAGAAAAAAAAGTTTCTTATTTTGGTTGGTACATATCTCATTGGAAAGGAGAAGCTAGCAATTTCGATTCTGAAAAGGATGGATTCATGTCCCATATATGTATCTAACATAAACAGCCGGGGAGACAAGAAGGAAATAATAGCCAGTTTCCAAAATGACTTTTTAGATCTGGTTTTAACCGATGATGATGTGGGAAAATATTCGTCAGCTGAAGTGATGATTCATCTTGTGCCAATGAAAATAGTGGGGTCACCCAAAGAGATTTCCAGCTACTTCAATCACAACCAATATTTCAATCATTTTGAGCGATGTATCGGCTTTAGACCTACAGGCTGGGCTTTTGAAGGAACAAGTGATTTTTTAGAATTAGAAGATGAGAAACCATACGCAGAAGATGCATCATTCCAAGATATGATTGAGGCATTAAAGAATCGGCCAAATTACACTTACCTTGACATTTTGAAGCAGAAACGGCCACAAAGTGATAAATTGATGGACAAGCCTACATTTAAGATTTACTCTCTTCCTTATAGTGAGCATCTGTCCTTTCGCGAGCTTTCATTTTTTGCCTTGATGCTCAATATCAGCGAAATAATTCCGACCGTTAACACAGGGAATGAGTTTAGCCGTGCTAAAATGGAGCTGATTATTGAGAAATGGCGCATCTTACAGGGAGCTATCACCCAAAAGGGCTCCAAAAATCTCTCTTCAGAATTGCAAAATGATCTCCAATCATTAACATTGGAGAGCTTTTGAGCCGATCTCAGTATGTACAGGAATGCATATACTTCAATCCCACTTACAAACTATCAACAGAGCTATTTCTTTCTCTGCCACATAAGGATATATTAAGTAACACAATGGCACATTTTCTGTGGAGATCCACACCGAGATCTACGAAATTTACATTAACATGCCTCTTCACCGTTTCGCTGCTCATTTTGATTCTAAAAATCAGGACTAGACGGATTGCGCAGGCTGACCCTATGGCACCGGCTTCTCTTCTGGACATTGTGGTGCCATTTTTGCAATTGATCCCCCGCTCTGCCATATTCTATCCTTGGGTATTTGCAACGGCCATTTTTGCTGAAGTGTCCTTCTTTTCCTTTCTTTTGTCGACTGTTGTACTTTACATAGGAACAGGATACGTGGAGAAGTTTTGGGGCTACAGGGAAGTTGTCAAGTACATTTTATTGGTTGGAGTGCTCACCAATTTGTTTACTGTCATCGTGGCTATAGTCAGCAATATTTTCCGTGGAGACGTGGCCGGAATGGACAAGCCTTTAGGCGGAGGCATTTCATACTTGTTCGCCTTTTTGGTTGTTATAAAGCGCCTCATCCCCGAGCACAATGTGGTTCTCTTCCATGGCTTGATAAACTTCAGAATCAAGCACTTGCCCTTTATTCTGTTAGTTCTTGTCACTTTGTGGTCGTCCATCTTCCGTACTTTACATCCGGCAGTACCGTCATTGTTGTCTTTTTTCATTGCTTACATTTATCTACGGTTCTTTCAGATTGCCAATGTGGACCCAATATTACCAGTGGCTTCTACCAATGAGGAAGGAGCGGTTTCAGTGATCAGGGGCGATGGGTCGGATGCATTTCAGTTGGTGGAGTTTTTCCCCGGCATCACAAAGCCTTATCTTTCGATATTGTTTAATGCCGTCTATAAATTGAGTGTCTCTCTTGGTCTTGTGACCCCATTCGACGATGACTTCATTGAGCAGAGTAACTTGAGAGCGCAAAAATTGAGTGAACGCCTCAACCAGGCTAATAAGCTGATAGCAAATTCTGTCGCAGAGCGCAGGAGACAGGTTGCGCTCCAAGTGATTGAAGATCGAATGAACGGATCATCGTGAGCAGTTTACTTTCATGAAGCCAGGTGCCTAAAAGACTGTGTAAATGATAACTATATATAGTGCATCAAGCACTGCAACTTGTATTTACTTTAAAATCGTGAGGTACTCCTCCTTGCTGCAGGAGTCAGCTACATGAAACTATGGCAGGAGAGAATAATGGAATAAAGTAATCAAAAACATACTTTTCATCAGTTGATCGGCCTGCGAATGTTCCTCGCCCGATGAGGTTAATTGTATAGACACTTTGACGCGACATGCCGATTGAAAGCTTAAGAATCCGCGCCTGAAACAAATGGAAATCCTGCATTTTGTGTGCGATTTTCATCGTCGTGAAGGAACAACAAAAATCGCTTTGTCTTGTTCTGAACACTAATCTGGCCATGCTTGGGGGAATCAAGTTTCGACCTAAAAGCTCGAAATCAGGCTCCAGAGATACCTCTGGATCTTTGCCTGTCCCTGCCACTTTTAGGAATATGAAAAGTGCCAAGGGAAACCGTTTGGGATTGCTTCTTCTATCATGCATTTTGTTGTGGTTTTTCAATCCGTTTTCTCTTCTCTTCACCCATTCTTCAAAGTCCAAATACCCTGCACCACGACCATATACGTCGAAGCAAATTATCAAGTCTAACTCGAAGTATATTTATCCACCAATCGAAGATGGGCCAATTTTAAAGCGGATGGGAATGGACGAGTTGTTCAGAGAAACGAAAAGACCTGATCCCAACGTTCAGGGACTTGAGGTTAGTTTTATTGAGTCGTTGAACGTACTTGATGACCCTAATCCTGTCAAGCAAAAGCTCAAGGAGGAAAATGATAACCTCATATCCGTAACTAATAGAGCGAGAAACGCCTTCAAGAATCAGGACAAGGTTGTCTTCAGCCCCAAGTCTATGAAGAACTACCCAAAGGTTGTTATCGTTTCCGCAATTGATTTTGAACGGTACCCAATGGATTCGTTGGCTAAAATTGTTCAGAATAGAGTGAACTACGCCCACGAACATAACTACGGGCTTTACGTTAGATGGTATCAGGAATTTGCGCCAATGGTGAACTCTAAATCATTCGTGTCTAGCAAGGAAAGACGGAAATGGGCGCGTATTTTCTGTTTGAGGGCGGCTATGTTTGCCTTCCCTGAGGCAGAGTGGTTTTGGTACTTTGATGAGGATGGATTGATCCAGAACATGCATACAGATCTCACCAGTCATTTGCTAAACAAAAAAGTGTTAAACTCTGTTATTCTTAAGGAAAGACCCATCATTCCGCCAAACGGGCTTATTAAGACTTACAAAAACATCCAAACTGAAAATGTTAAGTTGATTTTCATCCAGTTTGACAACCAAATTCAAACCAACTCCTTTATCGTGAAGAATGATGAAGTCGGCCGCGCCATAATTGATTTCTGGACCGATAAACTCAACTTAAATTACAATAATTTCCCTCATGGTCCTGATTCTGCCTTGGCCCATATTTTGCAGTGGCATCCTTTCATATTAAGTAAAGCTGCTATAGTTCCAACCAGATTGTTGAGCTCGATCCACAGCGATCAAGAGAATGCACAATCGAAAGATAACACCTTATACTCTAATGGTGACTTAACGGTTCAATGGCCCTCATGTGACGGAGACCAGTGCAATCATAATTTGCTCAAATACGCACCTACGAAGTGATTAGCAATAGAATACATTAAATGTACAAATGGAAACATCGAGCCGAGTAAATGAAAAAATTCGAGTAAAGGCATTTGCTTAGAAATCCTTACTGGTGTAGTGATGTCTTGATGATGGTGTGAAACTCCAGAAGGTAAGCTTAATACCACTTGTTTCCCACCAGGTAGAGACCTTACCAGTATCATTGTTGTGAGTACCTCTTGGTTGGAAGATACCCTGGAAGGTACCCGTCATTTTAGAGCCAAGATTCTTCTTGATGAACTTAGACGCCACAGCAGGAGCAACAATGACAACCACAAAGAGAACCAAGATAGTGAAGTACAAAGTACAGTACTTTCTTACCATTCTCTTTCTCAACTTAGCTTGCTTCAAAGAGTAGATTGGTGGTCTGATAAGTCTTGATGGCTTCAACCAGAACAACATGGTGGAATGCCATCTGTCAATCATTGGAATGAACAAAATTGGCAATTGTACAAACAAAATGATGTGAGCCAAAATGAAGTCACCGGCAAACTCTGACATTTCAATGGTCTTGGCGCAGAATTCTCTTGCTGGTTGAGTAAAAGCCATGTAACCCATACCGCTGCCGTACCACTTACCAGTCCAGAATGCAGTATTGGCCTTGTCGTTCTTGAATTCTCTGGTCAAGAAAAGCAATGTCATGAACTTGAACAATACTCTCTCGATGTAGATCAGGGCAACAACACCCAACAACATTCTAGCGAAGTTGAAACCTTCCAAAACCCACATGACAATGAAGAAAACCAAATGAACAACGACTGCAACACCGTGAGCAACACCAGCAATAACAGCACCCGTTTTCTTGCAGCACATTCCCAACATTGGACCAGCGCAACAAGCTAATCCAACGCAGACACCCAAACAGCCCATGTTGATAACCACTGGGGCCAAAGCACAAATGACGAGTCTAGCAACAGAGTTCACAATGATAGGGTCAGTTGAGTCTCTGCCGTCGACCTCCCATTTAGTAACACCAGTTTGAGCATTAATAAAAGTGTAAGGAACAAACAAAGCAGCAGCATAGAATGCACATGGAATAAAGTCGGCAAAGAGGACATTGGATCTGTGAGCTCTTGTGGTATCACCGGCAGCCTTTTCAGAAATGTCTCCTGTCAACTTTCTCTTGAAACCAGTGATTCTAGATCTGGAAAGCTTAACGTAGCCAATCCACGAGTTTCTATGCCACTTGGTGTTACCACGAGACATCCACCTGATGAAATCACGGTAGTCAATGAAGAAGTCTTCCCAGGCAAATTGATGAGGGTTGAATAAGAATGGAGAGATGATCAAAGCAGACAAAGATGCCCAGAACCATAACAATGGTGCTTGCCAATGAGACACGGAACCAAACAAAATGATCAACATACTTCTGGCACCCAAGTAAATGGATGAGTCTGCAAATCTGGAGAACAAAATGGAGAAGGGAATACGCGATGTAGCGAATCCTCTACCTGTAGAAATGTATCTGGCACCACCCACAGTCATATCAATGTATAACGATGTAGAGTAAATTTGAGCAACGAACACTTCGAAGAATGGAGACATAGAGATAAAGTGTCTGCAGAATCTTTGGGTAGCTTTCCAAAGACCTCTCTCAATTAACTCTTGTACCGTCAATGGGATGAAGGAAATGAAGAAAACAATGAAAATAGACAATGTGTAACGTCTAATCCAATCCACAGCTGGGTCCAAGTTGTAACAACCGAAAGGCTTCAAAAGATCAGTGATAGGAACATTCTTGTTGTAGTCACAAAGGATAGACTCATGCGCCAAAGCGTTCAAGTTAGCCAAAACCAACATAAAACTCTGCAACGACAACTGAATAAACAAGTTATTGATATGGAAACCAGGGTGACCGTAGTAGAAGGACAAGAATCTGTCCAATGGCAATTGAGTCGACAAGTAGTAGTATTCTCTGGACAACATCTGTTCACCCATACCAGCACCGATCTTGGTTGTGAAATTACAGATAGAACCGAAACCCATATCTCTACCCTTACCACATTGGTAATATTCACAGTGTTTGATTCTTCCTCCTCTCAACATTGCAGTCATACCAGCGTAGATATCTTCGTTCAAGTGCAATCCCTTTTGAGCCTTCGAGACACCACCTCTAGTAAACATAAAAGTGGCATTCAAGAAATCAGGGTGACCATAATGCAATTTACCTCCAATTTGGGCCAACGTTCTAGCGAACAAAGTACCAAAAGTCTGTTCCTTACCAGCAGCAACATCACCCAAGACACCAGAGTTCTCCGAGAAAATGTACTCTCTGGCACCCAAAATGGCAACAGGGGATTCGCGTTGTTCCTCGCTGTTCTTCAAGTTTGGAGCATATGGATTCACGTGTTCAACATTCAATTCTTCGAATTCAGCCAAAACAGATCTGATCTTCAAACACTCTTCAAAATAGTTGTCTTGATTGGCATCGATCAATTGAATATATTCACAA